GGGAGGGAAGGGGAGGGGAGGGGAGGGGAGGGGAGGGGAGGGGAGGGGAGGGAAGGGAAGGGAAGGGAAGGGAAGGGAAGGGAAGGGAAGGGAAGGGAAGGGAAGGGAAGGGAAGGGAAGGGAAGGGAAGGGAAGAAAAATGGGCAGAGGGAAAGAAGAGAACTTACAGTGGAAAGAGTTAGCAGCATAGTCAGAGCAGCAAGCCAGCTGCCCTAGTCCTCTTCCATCCCCATCGCTCCCCACTTTTCTGTTCATTGGTACTATGTAAAGCCTCCATTAGGTACAGAAGGCATGGCTCAGTTTTTCTTAACACAACAAAGCCACAGTCATCTTTGTCTTTATAAGACAGGCCACTGTTAGTACTATGGCCAGAGCAAGAAATCCCCTGTGGTATCACAGCACTTACATGGAAGGCAACTGTGTGTCTTCTGTAGAGGGTAAATAGATTTTCAGCTATGTTTTGACCAACACACACTTCTAATCACCTGCCTGTATCTATATCATATACAACCTAAAATATTTGTAAACCAAGACCAGCCAGTCTGGGACAGGCTCTTCCAGGAAAAGGCAGGAGCAGGGAGCTTTGCTTAAGTAGCAGCAGAAGGAACAGTGGAATGGCTAGGAGACCCACATTCCCTATCCCCTTCAACTATGGTGATGAGTAACTCTCTGGGGCTGTTACTGGGAAGTAACAGCCAATTGTCATAAATGCTTTCAAATGATATAAATGATATCCTAGATGATTTAAAACATAGTTTTAGGACAGGCAGATAATGGCCAACTCACCCAGAGAGAGAATCAGTTCATTCCTCCAACAGTGCCAAGCAGTGAATTCAGCTTGGAACTGATAGACTACTGTGGTCAGCAATGGTCCAGCAATCTGATGACTTAGGTCCTTGTTCATCAGAAATGCTGGTATATATTAGAAAGGGAAGTCCATTTGTCAATATACCCTACTAGGGAAGATGCAAAGGGAAAGGGGGGATCTATGTAGCAGCCTTCATTATCTGGAAAAACCACAGGCTGACAGTGGGAAAGAGAGCAGGATGCTGTCCTTGTGGGCCTCCCCCAACTTGGCAGGTCTTGCCCTTATGCCCAAGATCCTTCTTCAATGGTACCCATTTCCTGGTTCTTCCACAGTCCTCTGTGAGGCTCCCTTGCCACTGACTGCAGACGCCATATATTTATGCTACTCCATTTAGAAGGTCCTGTGGGCTGTTCCTCTTGGGCACATCAAAGTCTTATCTAGTGAATGCAGTAGACATGTAGCAAATACACTGATTTTAGATGGTAGAAACTGGTCTTCTTAAGAGTTGATTGTTCCTTACTGGCTATCTCCCTCAGGAATCACAGCATAACAAAATCCTGAGTGTGTTTAACCTGTAAACCTAAGATATGGCTACAGAAGTCTTAGACTATTGCTGACTTCTCCGAGCCATATGCCTAGTATGCCTGAGACAGACTACTGTCCTCAGTTTCATGTCACACACCAATTGGGTCATGTGACAGGGCCAGTAACTGTCTATAAAGGTAGCTACTGTGGATGGATACCTCCATGGCTCATTCTAGAGAAACATCCCTTTATTTCTGTCACTGTGGAAATGGAGACTTTACATGGACAACTGTGCCCAGCATGAGCCTCTGCATCTGTAATAGGCAATGTGTACAGCTGTAATTGAACATTTCAGAGGCATAAAGGATTATATGAAACTATGGTCCACCTCTGTCACTAGATCTCCATCTCCTTCCCAGAAGCAATTCCTTTGATGCTTATAAAGTATTCTGGAACACGTGGAGAAGGCTCCATTCAACCTCTCTCTGCAGCACACCACTGAAGCAAACACTTTCCTAGTACACTCTACATGGCACCAAGGGAAGACTCCTTGTAAGCCACTGTTAGTAGATAAGACTGTGCACGTTTGCCTAGACAGTTCTTCACCCAATGCCTCCTTTTGCAAAACTCCAGAGTTTTACTGCAGAGAGGTTGGGGAAAGGATATGATCCCATTAAGCCAGAGTGTCTGGCTTCCCCCAAAGGTCCTGACTTTTGATTTCTGGGTTACTTACTATAGACAGCAATCAACGCAGGACTCAGGTTTCCATGGGGTTTTCTTAAGTGGCCAGATGCCTCCAGCTTCAGTCTCCTCCTTCCTTCTTGCACTGTGTTTTGATTCAAAAATATTTTACTCTCTTACAGCTATCCAATTCTTTTAGGAAAAAAAATGAGAAGTATTTATCTTATCTAGTCATTGGAGAAATGGAAGTCACAGTGACCCTGCCTGAGTGTTTCTGACTATGGGTGACCCACTAGTGTGTCAGCTTTGAGCAGTTTCATGCTGCCCACATCACTGTGGGGATAATAGTCACAATCTTGTCTGTGCTCATAATTTCCATAATCTTTAGCCAGAGACAGACTCACTCTTTACAGTGAAACATGTTAATGTCAGCCTAGGACCTCAGTGGCAGCTCTGGATTTCTTTGGCAGTCTCCAGTCTTCCTACACAGAAGTCTCAGATAGCAGGACATGTTTACTATTGTAGATTATGTACAAGTTGATAACAGAGTGATGGTCAAGGCACCAGGGCTATGTTTTGATTTTGGCATGTTTGTTCTCAAAGCTAAGAGAGGCGGGGGAGGGAAGAAGAAGGTGCTGAAATTCTGTAGTATATTGCTATTGCTAGAACTCAGGTGGAAATCAGAGGTCTGGGACCACACATGACAAAGTAGGACTTTGCTCCAGGACATGAGGGAAAAGGAATGATGTTTGAATGTTGTTGAGAATACAGACTAAAGAAAAACGTGCCAGCGGAAGCCCCCCTGGAGTCCTTTGTTAGCTCCTATGGAGGCTACATTTTACCAAAGCCACATCTCATATGCATTCACCTATACCATGTCCTGACCATGGCAATAAAGGACAGATGGGGGGGGACCTTTTCTATCCTCAGGACTTGAGTACTTTCCATCAGCATCTTGGCTGTTTGGAGATTTATCACTGGGGTGAGCATGCCATTTGTCCCCGAAGCTGAGAGCCATCTGAGATAACATGATGAACAACAAGACTATGAGCATAAATTGAGACTATCTCAGGCAAGCCATAATTATCTTCTAAGTTGCCAGGATAAATCCAGATGCATTAAGACAGACTGTGGCATATACCTTGCCTTTTCATCTGCACAACAATAAAACCCTGGTGTTATCTTTACTACAGGGACTGGATACTTAGTCATATTTAACAGCGAAATTAGTATTGCTTTGTAAGGAACGATAACCTGAGTCTCCTGATGCTGAGTGTGTGCTTTCATTTTTACATCATGCATGGATATTGTGCTCATAGTTTTCTGTTCTGTAATGAGAAATGGAGCTTAATTTGTGTGTGACCTTTATTAGCCAGGGCTCGCTGTCAATCAGAGCTAGCAACCCTTATTCATGGACAACTGCATGGCAGGCCCTGGGCTAAGAGCTTTGCTGTGTCAGTCCTCATACCACCCCTGATGGGGGTTGTGGGGGTGAGGGGGCCTATTATCATCTCTGCACATGCTCACAAGCTCAAGGGCTCAGGGCTGAGTGTGCATAGCCAGTGTGGTCTTTATTCTTACCTAAGGCATTTGTCTATATTCTAGAGCCCTCTCGTGTTTCCTTTGATGAAATCTGATGTAGACATGTCACCTGTCTGTCTGGCCCCTGTCCAGTGGCTCTCTCTGAGCCGAGTCTGTCTATTGTTCATTCTTGGTGTATCTCCCATGTAGCTGTAGTTTAATTGACTTCTGTAGTGGCCCCTTCTCTTCACAGGGAGCTGACGGAGGGTAGATCCGGTGTTGCAACCTCTGAGCTACACTCTGTGGCTCTGAAGACATGATCTTAGTACAAGCACTGTGAAAACATCACAAGGGTTTGAAGTGACATTTGGGTGCTACTGGACACATGGTCTGCCTAGTCCTAAGACAGTACAGGTCTTACGTGATTCTTCGTATGTGTTTTGCTGTGTAAGCTCAATGGCTGACACTACAGGTGTGCCCCACCCTGTCTAGTCATGAACCTACATCAGCTCGCTTAATTACCAGGACATCCTACCCTGTGCAGTGGGAAGTTCTAACTCTCTGCCTTCAGAGTCCTTTCCCTGCAGTGTTGAGACCAAGAGTGTAAAGCATCATGCTGACCAGACCTATCATGGGCCCCAGGACAGTGTGTATAATACTTACTGGTGCTCTCCAGGGACAGCTAGGAAGGTACTCCACAGGGTAGCTTGGAGTTTCTCATATTTCCATTAAGCATTTAAAGCTGACACATGAGTAACTGCCGGTATAATAATTATCTATGCTGGGAACATTTTATGTGTTCTTTTATTTAAGGTAGCTTACTCCATTTTCCAGATAGGTAGACTTGTGTGAGTCCCAGATCAGTGGCCTTTGGATGTAACTCAAGGTAGAATATCCCCCAATTCTCACTCTGCTCCCGTGGCCAGTGGCACATCACCCGTAGTGTCCTCACAGATCCTTACCTGTCCTGCGAGCCACTGCATGGCTCCTTCCCACAAATTCTAACAAGCTTCAGGTGGAAGAGCAACAGCATGTTCTGCAAAGCAATCCAACTCTTGTCTTTTCAGACCCTTACACCAAGAGAAGGACAGCTGTCTTGTGGATCCTATGCATCCACAATGGTCCCAGTATTTAGAAACAGGAAATGGTCTGAAGCCATGGGTAGATTTATATCCACCCCTAGGAACACTGGGAGAGAACCCAACCGCCTGCTGTACCTCTAAGACCTGTGGAGTCAGATGACCCACATTTGAATGTACTTATGTGATTCTTTTAAAAGTTACAGAAAATTCTCCAAAAAGAAGGCTAAAAATAGGCCCTACCTTATATTGTAGGAAGGTTATACACCCCAGAAGAAACCAGGGCTGGGTAGTAACGTGCACTACCTTCCAGAAGCCAGCTGGGTCCAGGGCCCAGTTTTGGCCACAGAGCTGAGTTGTCACATGTGACCTGTTGTCTGTTGCAGGGCACCCGCAAGCCCAGCCCTCCTCAGAAGCCTCTGCCTGCTGATCCATTGAGCAGGACTTCTCGGCTCACCAGTGCCTTGGTGAGGACCCCAGGGCAGCAGGAACCTGGGCACCGCCCAGCCCCCATCAGGTGGGTGTCATCTGGTCTAACCACACTGGTGTGCGCAGGTATCAGGTGTTGAGCCGTGCTTCCTACCTGCCCTGAATGAGAATGATGGGAGATGAGTGTAGAATAACCAGGAAGCTGTCACTGTAAACCATAGCTATGCGCATCACCACAGGGCTTTCTACAATGGCTCACTTACCAGAGAGATCATAGCAGGATGAAGACGACCCAGGAAAGCTGAGTTGCTGACAAGAGCCTGGTCTCCAGCAGGCACTAAAGAAAACATTGTGTCTGTATGAAGGTTGGACATCCACCATAGTCACCAAGACCTTCTCTGCCTAGTCCACAGCCTGAGACACTAGTTCATTGTGGGAGACTATGGGAAATGAGGGCCAAGCAGCTGCTCAGTAGCTGGAGCCCTAGGGGCTTCTCTACAGCTGAGTGACCCCGTGCAGGCTATCTCTGGCTGTGATCATCTCCACCCTCTCCCACAGGGGATGAGGCAGATGCAGTCCAAACTCTACTTAGATGGGGAGAGGTTACCCACAGCTGTAACTGAAGCTGGCTCCTGCCTTTTTCAACTTAGCCAACGTTAAATATTAAAGCACATCAAGTTGCATTTAAAACAAGGGTGATAAAGACTCATAACACTGCGCTGAGATGCTTGTTGCTGAGGTTGCTCGCATCAGGTATCTCTGTGGTGAAATCCATGGCATGCTGGGTGCTTTCCCATCTTCCACATTTGCTGGTGTAGCTGGGAGCGTTGACAACATGGAAATCAGTCCAACCTGCAGCTCAACCTCTTTCTTAGTGAAATTATTCCCTTGTGGGCTTTTTGTGATTTTGATTGTCTCAGTTCTTGGGATAGAACATGCTGAACAAGTGCTGCATACCCTGAGCCATGGTCTCTGTAGTAACCCAGGCTGACCTGAACCTCCTGATTCTTTATTCTCCTTTGCATTGGGATTATAGGTGTGAGACACCATGCCCGGGTAGCAGACTGTTTAACCCACAGCCCACTTGTCTGATTCACATGCCCTTTAGCAGGCAGTGAGCTCTTTGAGCACCAGAGAACCAAAGGTACTGACTGTTGGCCAGGCAGCATGCTCAGTAATTCCTATCTAGGCGAGGGAAAGGCACACGTCAGTGATTCATTACATCTCTTGGGAAGAATGTTGGCCTAGGAAAGAAATGACTACCTCATAAATCTCAGAGATAATGCTGGTCAAAGGGTTACAATAGTCTAGTTCACCATTGTAGAAATGCAGGAAAAATTTTTGCATGGCATTTCAGTTACTTTTGATATTCTACTACATTAAAACACTGCATGGACATGATGGGGCGGGCAGGGAGCACTCTTCTGCATAGTGCCCCCAAGTGCTACCCTGTCGCAACCTCTACTGATGGCAGCCTGGCTCCCCATCTCTTGAGCTGTGCAACGTGATCCTGGAGCCACTAGGCATGTTGGAGCTGGTTAAAAATAAAATAGAAATATGGAAAAGTGTGAATAAACACGTGCCAGGTTTTGAACACTTAACCCCACCCCTGTCGATGCCCTCAGCACTTTATGCAGATTGCACACTGAGATGCTGAAAAGAACTGAATGAAATTTAGTGATAAAACTGAGTTAATCTATGTCACATGGCTGTTAGAAACATAGAATCTGAGACTGGAGAGATGGCTCAGTGCTTAGGAGCACTTGCTGTTCTTCTAGAGGGACCAGAGTTCAGTGTCCAGCACTCACCTTGGGTCACTCACAAACCATCTGTATCTCTGGCTCCAGAGGGATCAGAAACACCCACTTCTGGCCTCAACTGGCACCTGCACTCACATACAGAGACATCCAGATAAAAATAATCTAAAACTTAGAATTACCTGAGCTATTCATATCCATGTTTTTCTATCAAATGGTGCTATTCTAAAATCAACTCATGGATAGGAGGCACACTTCCAGAGGGGGGTGGTAGACTGTCTGTTATAGGCCACTGGGAGTTCTGCAGTAAGATCCTTTTTATGATCAGCATCCCCACCCCTCAACCCCCAACCCCAGAAGCTAACCTGGCCTCCAATCTCAGGTGGGGATCTGTGAGCTCTATCCTGGGAGATGCACCAGTGTGCAGAAGCAGCCTTCTTCCAGGGTCAGACCTTGGAACTTGTCCACAGACTGGCTTAAGTCTAACTGCAGTTTTGTTTTCCCCTCTCTGGCTTGTTCTTCAGACCTGCCCCTAAGCATCAAGTACCTAGACCCTCCCACAATGCCTACATCAAGTGAGAAGCCAGCCCAGACCGGTCCTCAACAATGAAGACAGAAGTTTGCACTATCTTCGACTCCATTGGAGTTGTTGTTGTACCAACTTTCAGAATTTCTAAAGTGTTTAAAACACCATTATTTCCAGAACTTGGAGCTACTGCCATCGGTGCTGTGCTGTGGTGCTTTGTGTACTTGCTCAGGTACTTGTAAGTTATTAATTTATGCAGAGTGTCTATTACTGCGCAGGGCGCCGTAGCAGGCATTTGTACCATCACAGGGTTTTTCTACAGAAGGAAGGCTCCTCGTACTTTTGCTTTTCTGGAGGACTTGAAATATCCTGCTTGATGGGACCCAAGATGAGATGTTTACTTTCTGTTTGAGGCCTTATTGGAAAACAGCTCCCCAACTTCCCAAGGCTGTGTTATGGTACCAGACACGAAGCTCAGGACACCCCAGGTAGAACCTGGAATGGGTTTTTTTGTTTTGTTTTTTTATTTTTATTTTTTATTTTTTGGAAAGTCTTTCTTAGGTTGTAGTCAGAGCCTTCAGGAAGGTCTTGGGCCCCTACATGCTAATGGCCTTCAGGCCGTGCACCCTGAAGCTCTCAGACAACAGGTAGCATCTGGTTTCTAGCAAGCAGCTTTAGAGAGAACCTGGGGTACTGAAAAGAAGGTTGGGGTGTGGCCACACCAGGATAGAGACTGGAACCCTAGTCTGGGCAAACATTTGACCTTGAGCTGAGCAGCCATGAGCACCTCTGGGGAGCAAGGAAGACTGAGGTGCTGTACAAGGCTTTGCATCGAGAGCTGGTAGAAGCTTCTCTCTGGCTGCCCTTTGCAGAGTGCGAGCTGGCATAGGCATGTTGTTTACATTGAGAACAGTGGTGTTTCTACAAGAAAGCCACTGCCTGGGCACTGCAGGCCTCTGTCTCCTACCCATTTAGAGCTAAGCAAATTACCACATTGTCTTCTTGACTATAATACAATGACCCTGTGTTCTGACAGATAGAGTAGGCTTTCTATGGGACCATAACCATTTTCAGATGTGAACTGGTAACCAGATCTAGTCGATCAACTCTGGAGATAGAAATCTCCTTTTTACTGCAAGGCTCAACTTATTAAAAATTAGGCAGAATCCATATGCTTGCAAAAGCTATAACCACATGGAATGCTATTCTTATGGTACAGCCTAAGTCTGGTATCCTTATTAGTAGCCATTGGACAAAGAACCCAAAGTTACCCGTGTGTTCTCTTCAAGACATCCTAATTTCTTCAGAATAGAGACTCAGTCTTTCTCACACTCTGAACATACCTGTTAATGCATAAGACAGCAAGGCAATCAGTTTCCTAATACTGAGTTTGCTCATGAAAGGCAAACTCAGCCAGGCAACTCTTTAACCTTTACTCTTTCAATGTCTGACTGAAGCTTCTGAAGGGAAGCTACCTTCAGAAGCAGATCTTCAAGATGCCTCAACACAGTTGCATGAAAGATATATATTTTTTTAAAAAAAATTATGTAAAGCAAAATTCCAGAGGCCTTCCCTGTCTGCTGATGGGGTGTAGGATGACTGGCTTTCACATTAGAAGGTAATTGACAGCAGTTCTGTACCTCATCTGACTGCTTTAAAATCAAGGCTTCTTTGGAAGGGTCACATTAATGACTGACCTGTGCCTTGAAGCAGAAGAGAAAACACAGACTTGAAATTTGGTTTGCTTTCTACAATTCAGAACTGTATTCAGCACTGGGAAGGAAGCATGGTCTTCGTGATTGAGTAAATAAATCTACGTCACAGATGCATAAATGAACAACTCCTATAACATGCCTCTTTTCATGGCACAGAGACAATACTGCTGCCATTGAGATCTATACAGAATTTTTGTAACTGATACTACATTGGGTAGTTGTACTAAGGCCAAACATACACAACCGTCAAGGCTTACAGAGTTATGTGAACATTATCTTGTGAGACACATTGTGTGTCTCCAGCCTTAGCTGGAGTGAGTGAGTCCCTCCTCTGGGTGGGGGTTGACAGGGAAGCTAGGAATACGTTTCTTCTGTCATAGATATGACAGAAGAACTTTGGTTTTGGAGGACAAGAGAGAGTTTGGTTTAAAGGAAGTTGGAGACGTGACCTTCTGCCATTTTCCCAGTGGCCTCTAAGGATGCCGATGGTGCCTTGCCCGCTCTGCAGTGCTGATTGCTTGCTTTTTACAGACCGTGCATTCATTTCTGAATAAGAACATATTTAGTCCTGATATTCCCTTATAGGATAGACAGCGTTACTAAAGGTATACCTCTAAGATATAGCAGTTATCAATTAAAGCATATTTAGAAGTAACTTCAATTTTAACAAAATTGGGAACCAATAACCAGCATTGGGGCTTTTTGATAAAGGGTAGTTTTTCTCTCCCTTTCTCTATCCTTCAAATGACAGAAACCAACATTAATACAGTTCAATTAGTCTGTCTTGTGCTTACACACATTAGAGGTATGTCTAGAGTTGGCTGAGTCTCGTAGAGCATCCCTGAGAAAGGCCAGTAGGTCAAGAACCTAGACATGAGGCATGGCTGGATGTTCTCCTTCCCTTCCTGCATCGAGGAATAGTTATAGGCTATGTGACCCTACTTCACAGGCAAGTAGGAGGCAAACCTTACAGGCATTCCACTTAAAAGCTGGTCTCCTACAATAGTCCTGAGTCTGTTTTCCCAGCACATGGAGAGCAACAATGCAGTTTTCCATTTCAAACTATGCATGCCGAGTTTGCGCTCTGTGTGAGTGTTTCCAGGTTACACATATGGAATGACATCACAGAAACCACACAAGCAACAAATTAAATTCTACGGGAAGAAATACTCCTGACTGGTCTCCGAGGAGACATTTTTATGCCTTCTTAACTTTATTAGGAATTCTCAGGCTGAAGCTATGGGTCATTGTTCTCCAGCAAATCAATACAAGCCATCAATGCACTCTCTAAGAGCTGCCAAACCCTGATCTGTGTGAATGTTCTTAGGAGCCTGTGATCCCTATGGTGCTACAAAGAGGCTGGAGCTGGGCCAAGGAGAAGGCCTAAGAATCCTCCTGCCTCTCAGCAGATGTTTACTGAGCACTCTGAGCCAGCGACACCCCAACAACCAGGAGGACAGTAGGGTACCCAGCCACTTGCAGCTCTTTCCTCTGAGGCCTGCTTCATGTTTTAATTCCCTTATATCTGGCCCCAGCTAGGGGACACTGGCTACAGATCCTCCCCCACAGTTTTCAGATAGCCTAAGCTGTCTGACTAAGCTACCCAGCTAAGAAACACCAAAACTCCCAGAAGCCCCCAAAACCAGTTTTTGAGCATTATGACAAGTGGAAGAGGATATCACAGAGGCCATTTTTTTTCTCTCCCTTCCACTCACACTGAAAGCTAGCCCTCTCCACTCCTAGTTCCTTCACATAACTCAGCAGCAGCTCCATTATACCAAGGACACAGGAAAACACAGGCACCAATTTGCCTTCCTCTCTTGCCAATCACAAGTGCCTTACTCTGGCCAGACCCACTGCCAAAATCTCTCTCATCCAAGAGAGCCAAATCTCTGCCTTTGTTACTACTTCAAGCCAATGTGGTAACTGCTACCCTTCAAGGTTCACCTAAACAGTACAGTCCAACCTTCTCCAGAGCCACAGCACAGAGCAACCTCCAGCACACACCAGCCTTGAGTCTATCCAGCAGCATATCAACCACAGTGACCTCCCTCCCACTGCCTTGCTCTAACTACAAGGTGAAGTTAGCCATAGAAAATCAAGTTAGCACTGATTACAAAATGCTTTTGCTGCAACCTGAATTTCCCAGTGGCACCTATTGCTTTGAAACTCTGGTGAGTTAAGTGATGCTCTGGGATCTGTGAGCCCCAGACTCAGATAAACTGAGTAGTGGGGACCCCTTGCAGGAGACATGTGTACATATGTATGCTTTTTGTAGAGAACATACACACAAACATACTTACATACATACTTTCATTCATACACACACACACACACACACACACGCACACTTACATGAGTAGTAATAGTTATTATCAAACCACTGCAAGCTTTTCTCATATAAGAGGAACTAGGAAAAGAAAATGTTAAGTGTGGAATTGTTAGGATGCTCAGTAATGGGCAGAGATCTCGCCAGGAGGCCTAACACTCAGGAGTCATCTTCAACTGGGAAATGATTTGGCCCCTGCAAGTTGAAAGCCCCACCGCCTGCCTACCTTTCTATACTGTCAAAGAGCATGTTCTGTGATATCTGTAATTCTCTAAGAAAGTGACATCTTAGCCCTTAATTTAGCACATTGAAATCAAGACACAGTCAATGTCATGTGACTTCTTCATAAACAAATCAGATTCTGGTTTATGTTCACTGGCCTGTGTGCTGGAACTTCATAAGGCAGTGAGCAGAAAGCACGTGAATCTCATGAGACTAGAAACATAATTAACAGTCCTCCTATCAGGACAACTTGGTAGTGGTTGGGATAGGCAGTCATCTGAATGTGTGTGGCAACAAACAACATAACCTGAACTGGCCACAGGCTGCTTAGCTTCGTTCTGATTAATGTTACATCTCAGTTAACCGGCACAGCCATTCTGCAGGGCTTCATCCATTGATAGCGCTTTGGTTAGCTCATGTTTTCACAGTTATATGTTACATGCTGTTATTTTTGTACGCATTTCTCATATGGGGGATCTACAGGTAAACACAGCCTCCGAGTTCAGTAGAAAAATGTCATTGTTAAGAGTATTATATCCAATAAACAGTAAACATATAAACTTTGAGTGTGTTATCCAGAATGTTATTGATACAAAACTAAGGGTAAAGTCTTGTGCAGAAAAATATGTGCTCATTCACTTATAAAAGGAAGGCCGTCTTGGAGCATGGCACAGGCAACTGAAGAGAAGTGCTGAGGGGCCGAGGTATGCGTGCTGCTAATCTGGGAACGGAGCGAAAAGAAAGCCTGTCAATACACAGCACTGGTGAGACAGTGGGGAAACCTGATACCATTTTTAACTATGTGAATTCATAACCTATCAAAATAATGTTAAAGTTCATGTCGTTTATAGAAAAGTTCAAAAAACATCAACCATAACACTATCAGATTGGCAGCAAAGAAAATCTAAATGCAATAGTTACACACTTTTAAAATAGTATCCAACTTCATTAAACTGCAGAAAAATATATATATATTCAAAATTATAGCAAAAAA